AAAAAAAAAAAAAAAAAAGCTGTCTCAAAATGTATGAAGTGAAACGTTAAACTCCCTTTTAGACCTGTCCCTCATCTACTGATTTTCTTCACTAAAAGTAATCACTACCACCAGTTTCTCTCTACCTCCAGGGAGAGTGAGATTATTATGAGTTTTTGTACTAGAGACCTAAGATTAATTTTTAAACTACTGAATCCAGTTAATTATTTTAGGAAAAATTTATTGATTAATCAAATTTTCAATATCTAATTATAGTTGTATACCACTTGGAATCCTTTTTCACATATGCTTCCTTTGTGCCTGTTACTTTGTTCAAAGATGGCTATTAAGGTCAGGGAGACAGCTCAGCAGTCTAAGTGCTCTCCTGGCAAGTGCAAAGACCCAGGTTCGATCCCTGGTTCTGCATGCCATGCCAGCCCTAGAACCCCAGGTGCACTGTGCTAACCACCGGAACCAGGTATGGTGGTGCATGCCTGTAATCCTAGCGCTGGGGAGGCTGAGACAGGAGGATCACTGTGAGTTTGAGCCATGTAGTGAGACCTTGTAACAATTAATTAATCAAATAACAAAGATAGCTATTAAATTTTGACCTAGGGCCGGAGAGATGGCTCAGTGGAATAAGCACTTCCCTGGCAAGCGGAAGGGCCTGAGTTCAATCCCCGGTTCCGCAAAAAAAAAAAAAAAAAAAAAAAAATTTTGACCTAATAAAACATTTTTAGCTGTTCAAATCCAAGAGTCATAAATAAATGTTCGGATCTATCCCATTAAAATGAGATTGTTACATCTGCAAGCAAAGTCAGGCAGTCAAAGTTTCCCCTGTCATGGTCAAAGCCAGCCAGTGTGGTTGTGAGGGAGGCATCTGAACACGTGGCCTCGGGTTTGTCAAGGTTCAGGGTCGAGCACCACCTCAAAGTACTCTGGAAAGATGTGCCTTTTCAACCAAGAAGAAACTGAGTTTTGGAGTATATCTAGGTTTTGATTATGGGAATTTCATATTAACTTACACAGCTCCATAGTGGGTTAAAAACTGCGAAGCACCTTGACAGTTTGCTCATAAAAGCTTTTTTTTTTTTTTCCTTTTTTTCCTGCTATTTGTGGTCTGAGCATCTGCAATGTTCCCCTTATTCCGCCTTCCGCAGACCCTGACAGCAGGCTGGGATGACCGCGAGTGCCACCGCGTCTATAACTTCTTGTGTGAGCTAACCAACCTCTCTCGCAAGATGCAGACTGTTGTCTGTAACAAACCAGGTAAAGAACTGACTGCATGTAACTCCCCCTCCTCCCTCTGCTCTTGCTGTCTTCCTCCACCATGGACTGCTGCCCTCGGCCATGTGCCACTCTGCCTCACAGCCAGCCGAGCATGGGCTGAAATCTCGACAAACTGGGAACTGAATAAACCTTTCCCTCTAAAAAATAACAAGCCAGTAATTCACAGGTAATATCATAGACATTAAAACAGTCACAGGGGCTGGGGAGATGGCTCAGTGGAATAAACGCTTCCCTGGCAAGCTCAAGGGTCTGAGTTCAATCCCCGGTTCCGCCAAAAAAAAAAAAAAAAAACATTGTCTACAGTCATACCACCCTGAACGCGCCTGATCTCATCTAAAACAGTCAACACCTGTAATCCAGTACTCTGGAAGGCTGAGGCAAGAGTATCTCAAGTTCAGATCCAGCCTGGGAAACTTAGAGACAGTGAGTCCCTATTTCAAAATTTAAAAAACAAAACTTTTTTAAAAGGCCTCCAGAGGGGCTGGAGAGATGGCTCAGTGGTCTAAAGCACCTACTTAGAACAAGCTTAGCAAAGCATCAGGGACCACGGTTCAATCCCCCAGCACCACAT